TATAGTGTGAAAATGGGAATGTAGGGAGTTTAAAAAGGATCCAAGTGACTCGCAGGTCAACACATCTTTAAGGCTATCAGGCAAATTTGACTAAATTCGAGGAAAAAGTACAATAACAGAATTGTGATGAACTACAGTTGCGAGAATGCAATGATTAAAAGTCAAAGTGGTTTGATGTCTAGTGTTAATTGATAGATATTCTTATTTTGGCGACATTCAAGCGACAAAAGCTTATTGGATTTCAATCTAATATCATATGGGATTTCCCCTCTACCAACTCTCATGATTCTAGGAGTGGCATATTTTTGGATGCGCTCTAAGCGAGTACGTTGTTTTTTTGTCTGAGGCATCCGTGCAGGTAGACCGTAGTCTAAGTGAGGTAGTACCAAAGACTTGTATAGGGAGAGTAGAGTTTGGCTTAAGGCAAATGTGGCAATGAAAAATATCAAGCCTAATAACTACATTTACTGACAATAGTATCAACGAGGTGGGTTTAGATTATAGGTGACATCATTTATAAATAAATTAAACAACATAGGTCCTAGAACACTGCCTTGTGGCACACCCGAAGTTACATACTGTTGTCTAGAACAAGTTCCTTTGAACTGCACACTTTTGGTTCTTTTAGTTAGGTACGATGACAGCCACTGCCACATGGGACCCCTTATATTGAACTGAACAGCAGGTTTATTCAAAAGTAAATCATGTGGCAACTTGTAAAAAGCCTTAGACATATCAAGAAATATGGCATCAATTACAGGCGGACAGGGTTTATCTAAAATCTGAGACCATTTGTTGATAATGTTTGTAAGCTAGGTGATGCATGATTTACCTTTTACAAAACCATGTTGATTCTCATTTAAAAGAGAGAAATTTGTAGCATGCAATGTAATAGATTTCTTAACGATTTTTTCAAGTGTTTTGCAAACAATTAAGGTGAGAGCAATAGGTCGATAATTCTGGACAACAGAGGGATTCCCACCTTTTAAAACAGGCAAAACAGTTGAATGCTTCCAGGCTTTAGGCAATGTACCTGAGAGGAGAGAAATTCGAAAAATATAAAAAAGGGGAAATGAGATAAAAGTTGAGATCTTATGCAAGAGTCTAGGAGAAAGTTGGTCAGGACCAGGGGAGGATGAAACAGAAAAAGAGCAAATAGCAGAGTCGACATCTTCAGGGGTAAACTGGATGTTTGTTAATGCAGGGATGCCAATATCAAAATCAAGATGCCCGGATACCGGATGAGGAGGTAAATCAACAGATGGATTAAACATGGAAATAAAATAATCATTAAAAACATTAGACAACAATTCTGGGGTTTCGTATCTTACACCATTTTTAAAAATTAGATGATAATTTAGTACTTTTCTTTTCCTTCACAAATGCCCAGAAGCGTTTCTTATTATCATTAGTCTTAAAAAGTCTGTCCACATAATCTCCATATAAACGCCTAACTTTGCCTTTGACTTGGCCATGGGCCCTTTTGTACGCATTCCAGTCTGATATTTTCATTGAGCATTAAAACATCCAGATATGATAACATTGAGATATGTGAATTTAATTCCAGTCCCTTGTTTCGTATACTCCGAGCATTAAAAGAAACAAAATTCAGCATTGTAAAATAAAACAACAAGCAAATACTTACAAGATGAATGAAAATTTAAAAATATATCTGTTTCATACTGCAAAAACCAGCATTAGCTGTGTCTCAACATAAGTCAGATATGCTGCAGGTAAGTCAATGTCCGGAATTATCAATCGTAGACATGTGAAGACAATCTTGGTTTAACAACTCTCGGGCTTATTGCGACTTCAAGATGATCAATATTAAACACTGAAACAACAGCAAAAAGACAGCACAACACCAAAATTCCAATCAAGTGTAGTAAAGACGATATTAAAAATACCGAACAACATCCAAAATAAAAAATATAAGGTTAAAATCAACTGCAATTAAGCAGCGGCACGCCCGTTCGTTCGTTCCATGAAGACGATTTTATACATTAGTTTAGGTTATTTAATGCCAGTTAAATACACTCCGTAATACAGATTGATGTTACAATGATCTTATTGTTTAATTGTACAAATTCACAAAATTTACAGCATTCATTTTGAAAAGAAGCTCCCCTCTTTACTTCTCAAAAGTAGTCTCAAAAAGAAGCCCACCTCGAAAAGTAGCCTATCTCGAAAATTAGCCCATCTCGAAAAGAAGCCCATTTAAAGTTCACAAAAAAAAAAATAAGCCCAAGGCTTCAATTCGAGGTTTACGGCATAGTAGTACAATACATTTTACTTACAGAGCTTTTATTTTAACCGTAGTTGATTGCAGTTACATTGATTTAGACCGTTCAATCATACAAACACTTGGTTATTGTTTGGTAAGAAGTCTACAAAAACCACGCTCGGATGTTAATCAGCAGGATGCAGACCATGAAGCAAAATGCATGCGAATTCAACGTATGGTACTTGCAGCCATATTTGATTTTGTATGCAATTCAGGTAGTAATTCAAGTGTTTAAAAACAATAGAAGTTTACCTTTTAAATTTATGTATATGTAATGTATACTCAACCAGGGACTGAAACATGTACATTTTTAATCAGTGACTATGAACCTAGTGGCATATTAACCAAATGTCTAGAGGCTTTTATAGAGGACAGCTTCAGTGTAAATAATTTGTAAATGCTATAGCAGGACCAGTGGGTAAATATTTGCCTTCCTTCTACTTATAGAAATATGGGCAACTGGGCCAGATTTCATGCAAGTGCCAGTATACGAAACTTGTGCAGTATTTATTTTCTGTGTAGTATTTTTTTTTTCTTTTGATCGGTGTCCCTCAAAATCTTTACTTAAAATTATTTTTTACAAATCTGAATCTTCTTATCAAGTCTGTTCATAAGATCATATTCTGTAGAGCCATGTCGATTTACTGTAGGTCTAAAAACTTGACATTAAGATTATTATGTATAGTAAAGGGATTGGTAGAAAGAGGGCCACGACCTGAACTCTCCTTTCTTGACTCCTTGACAAATCTGAATAGAATTCATAAATAAATTTATAATAATATAAATGAATACATCCACTGTAAAGCTTTATTAGTTATAATTAAAATAATACAAATTAATATAATTTAATGAAATAGAATAAAATAAAAGAATAAATCTAAATCATTAAAATAATCTAAAATTGTACATTGTTTTTTCTCTTAGACAGCAAGAAAGATCTTTTACTTGAGGAATGTCCTTTATTTATTGAAGTTCTTCTTCAGCTTTTTCAAAATACCAAATGTAAAGAGGTGATGCGTTATGGTATATTTGTTATTCATCAATTAAGTTTGCATGGTAAGCTTTTAGATAGATTGATATTTTATTGACAAACTGGCGATACAATAACAGTCGTTTAACATGGCATTACAAATCAGGCTTGGTAAAAATATAAAATAAATACAGTAGAACCCCCTATTAAGAGGGCACCTTCGGGACTAGAAACAGTGCCCCCTTATATAGGGGTGTCCTCTGAATTAGGGTACCTCTATTTAGGGGAAACTAACCAAAAACGCAAAATTATTCCCTAATGGGGGTTTTGATACGTTTTCATACAAAAATCACCTACATTCTTTATTGTAATAGCGCCATTGAACATTCTGCCAGGGATATTGGCACTATATAAATCCTTGTTGATTAATTGATTTTTTATAATTATATTTTTATTGACATAAGAATCAGTTACAGTAAAATTAGAACTAATTTATAGCAATAATTTGCAATGCAAATCTTGACCCTGATGAATTAAACATTGGTTCCATCCGGAATGCCCTTTCTATGAAGTAGTTGCATGTGCTTTATTTTATATGTTTTTCTTTTCAATGTATTTATGTGTACGCCTATATATGTATAGTTTAAGCGGATAGTAGCCCTCGATGGCTTATGAAGCAATAAAGTGAATTGAATTGAATTGAATTGAATTGAATTCATTTATAATATGAAATCAGCAGAAATGTAATAGTAAAATAACAACAATAGTTTTATATGTTCCCAATGTTATTTCATGATGCAATGTTAATGACTAAATATTTTTTTTACCAAAAACTTATTTACCAATTTACCTTAATGTGTTCCTTTAATAGGGGTTTTGATGCATTTTCATACAAAAATTACCTACCTTCTTTATTGTTATAGCGCCATTGAACATTGCATTCTGCCGTGGAGATTGGTGCTATATAAATCCTTGTTGATTGATTGATTTTTTTATAATTATATTTTTATTGACATAAGAATCGGTTACAATAAAATTAAAACTAATTTATAGCAATAATTTGCAATGCAAATCCAATTCATTTATAATATGAAATCAGCAGAAATGGCACACTCAGAAAGTGTCCGTCTCTTTAATAGGGGTTGGCCGTAGTGTTAATATTTCTCCTCATTTCACGGAAAAGTGTCCCCTTAATAGAGTTGTCTCCTGAATAGTGGTGTCCCAAAGGAGGGGTTCTACTGTAATATACTGCTTCCTTATGATGCAATAAACTTTTTTATTTATTTTTTTTACAGGGCTAATTTTAACTGGCTTTTTAAGATTTCAAAAATAAATTTAGATAATAAATTAGGTTCCAATGTTAATAAAGAATGCATATCATTGCAATACGGAGAGGTGAGGGTAAGAACTTGACTGTTATTTTTTTTCAGACACAATGTGTGAGAAACTCCTTAAAAAAAATACTTTGCAAGTAATACCTGTAATGGCCAGACGTCAAACTGGGGACATCATTCTACAAAAACTTTGCCTTCAAATGCTTGTCGTCCTCATTAATACCCTCCAAAGAGGTATGTTGATTAATTGATTATATAATGAGTATTAGAACCCTTGCATTGTTGACATGCATACACTCAACAACGGGCCACTGACAATGTGAGAAATAAATGGCAAGGAAAGTCTGATACTGATAGTAAAAATAGTGTTTTTATACTAAATTTAGCACTTTCTGTACATTTTAGGCTTAAAATTCTTCTAATCCTTCCTGAACCCTGACCTAGGCAAATCCTAGTGTGTCCCATTTGTAATATGCGGATTGAAGACTTTGCATTAACTTATTTTGCTGCAGTTATTATGCAGCATTATCTACCTTCTACTTAACTTGATCTACCTTAATGTTTAGACTTTAAGCTCTAGGATTTTTTGTCCATTTTCATATCTTTTTCATAACTTATTTTGCTGCAATTATTATGCAGCATTATCTATCTTCTACTTAGCTTGATCTACCTTAATGTTGAGACTTTAAGCTCTAGGCTTTTTTGTCCATTTTCATCTTTTTCATATAGGCTGAACGATGGAGATCTTTCCAGTATTTTTCTAATGCACTCTTAAATTCATTTAATGTTGTAAAATCTACTTCATCTAGGGGAGACTATTCCAATCACTAATTGTTGCATGAACAAAACTTTCTTTCTCTCTGCCTAAGACTTCTTAAAAATCTTGATATTTTGGAGCCATTAACAAAACATTCCACCAGTGTTCTCATGTTTACTTTTTAAATGATTTGGAACGTTTTACTAGCGTTCCAACCAAAATTATTCAACATCAATTATGTTTTTAAACTGCAGAAACTCTATACTAAGCATTCCTCCATATGTCTGTTTACAATTTTGCCCCAAATATGTCACATGATTTCAATCTCTGATTGTGTCTGTTGTCACCAATTACTGATTTTGTTTATTTTCAGCAATTAGATTTGATGTTAGTCTGTGAATATGTCATCTAGTTGATGTTATTTATTTTTGATGATTTTTACATTTTTGTTGTTCTATATGTCTATAATAGCACAATTTGTTTCAAATACTTCTCAAGTATCTTGCTTATTATACTTATCTTACTTCCAGTGTTTGTGTAATGTAGTAGAATTACAAATAGTCAATGAATATTAATGCATCATTTATCATCTCCTTTTGGTTTTTAATGCAGAAACTAGGCATGGTTTGCAGCAGATAGCTCGATGTGGGATTTTGATTCCGGCAGTAGCATGTCTGAAATCTGATGATGCTGAGCTTGTTTACTGGGCTGCAGCTCTTATTCATGAATTTTCTGTTGCTGGTAAGTATTTGTTTTGTGGACGTCAATCATGTTTGCATCAAATTGTTACACGTGATTCACTTTATTTACTTGTTTCTTAACTACTGTACAACAAGTGCCAGGAACTGTGGCCAAGGCCTGTAATTAGGCCCCTGGACTAATCTTAAATATTAGATTAATCTTAAATAACAAAACTAAAAATAATAACAAAAAAACAAAAAAACAACCTTCAGAAATTAGGCAAGAATAAGCAAAACAAGGCACAAAACAACCAGAAAGTCAAGCTGGGATGAATGGTACAAATAAAACAGATGTCTATAAAATATACTTTAATTGAAAATTTGATTGTAGCATGTTATAGTCTATTTCGTGAATACTTACTAACCGATAAATGCCTAAGTTTCCTTTAAAACTTACCTCTCGAGCATAAAAAAAAATAAATGGCCCTAGCTCGCCTATATACGCCTTGCGTGAATGAACTGTATCCTCGTTTATGTTATATTTCACTACATGTATGTTCCCTAATACTGGAACTAGGAAGTGTATTTCCACTTATAGATAAATGCGGCTATGTATTGCATCACAGCCAAAAACAAAAGAGAGAGTGTTTACTACGCATGAATGAATGCGAGTTAAACTTGACACATGTAGATACAGTATAACATGATTATTGTATTAGAAGCTATTATTTTTTTTTTTATTATTATTTTTTCAGATGTACTTCGCAATGAGATATGCCAGATCCCATTTCTGATCGAGAGCTTACAGAAGGCGCTTCAGACAGGTGGTGAGGCTCCCCTTCAGAGGCTCATTCTCCGAGTTATATGCTTTCTGGCCCTTCATAATGGTAATTATAAGTCATTTGTGACAACCTTTGGTACCTTTACGTAATTTTCCTGTTCTTGACATGGAAATATTTTTCACTGGCACACTGAGGTAGTGGCAGTCCCTATGGCTGTAGTAATTAGCAGATACAGTAGTTGGCGTTTCTACTCGGTAGTTGCTAGTCACACAAGGAGTTATGAATATAACCATGCTGTATAAGGTGTGCTTAATGTAACACTATACTTAGGGCTAACTTGTCCGTGTAGCTGAGTCCAACAAGTATATAGCACCTCCATGTGTTTACATACTCTGATCTGGCCTACAAAAAATGGCTTTCATAAAAGATGAGTAGAAAAACATTTAATTTCTCTACTGATGTTTGTTTATTCATAATCTTTGGATTACCAGAACACTTGGTATTAGACAGTTTTATAGAAGAATTTAGGCCATAGGAAACCTAAACATGCATTTGTGAAGAACATGAATGTAGTCTAGATAAGATTGAAAATTAATTACCCATATATGATGTATTATTTCCTATAAAGTTTGCTTGCAGCCCCTGCTTACCTTTAGTAATACCTTAACTAGAAACATATCCTCTATACTGACTTAAAACAATTTTGAATATCTTTATAGTATAATTTCGCAACTTTAACCTACAGTATTTTATTTTAAGCATTTTACCTTTGTCTTCATTTTGTTTTCTTATCACTTACTGCTAAGCATTTGCTTAATTTGTACAAATCTTTTATCTGTCCCTATTGATTCTTGTTTTTCATACTTCAATTTTTTTATAAAGTAATTTTGCTTTTTTCTTTACATAAATTTCAGCATTTTTGTATTTATCTCTAAATTTGCAGATCATTTTAAACTGTCGCTGATCAACCAAAAGGGTCTGATTGAGCGTATCCCAGTATGCCTTGCTAGCGGGGAAAAGGAAGTAATTCATTGGTCTCTTGTTTTGGTGCATGATATTGCCATGATAGGTAACTTCATGGGAGCATGTATATAGATTTAGTTCTCCTTCATCATTGTCACATTTTATATTTAATGTCACACTTACAAAATATTAAGGGGATGTCAGTCTGTAGAAGTTTAGATCTTTAAATCCGTATGTACAAGTTAGGATTATATGCAAATTATCTTATCTGAAACTTTTAATAAAGTAAGCATGGTATTATTATTACTATATTATATATTTGTCTTATAAAGTTGAACTTGCCTAAGTCAAATCCAAAATGGCATTGAAACCTGTTTGACTTATAGATTTATCTGATAAAATTCAACTTACAGATCGTTAATGGAAAACACAACAATTTGGCATGTAAGTAAGGTCTACATTGTGTTTAGGCAAAGTTGACTTAGGCAAGTTCTACTGTAGTTTAACATAGCACATATCTACATTATGCAAATAATATTTTCTATATTTAAATTGTTTTTTGTTATTCAATTTTATATTAAAGCTTATATTGATATTTCTATTATCTCATTTTAACTGATATTGATAAGGCTTAAAAAAGAAAAACACAACTGCAGTGTTTGGTAGCAAACAACATGGTCTAAAATTGTTTGGTCAAACTAACCACCACCAAATAATCCAATGCATACAGACTGCATAACATTTTGCTTTAGTCGAATTACTCATGCAGTAACTTTATCCATGTGAACAGTGCTATTCAGTTACATCTGATTTCTGAACTTTTCACAGAATATAACCATGATTAAACCGAGACTTGCATGCTTAAATTCTTACTATCTAACTATTGCATTTTTAATCCAAGTGAGAACAGAGTTATGATTTACCTAAGGTACAGTTAACCTTTATCTTGGTTTAAAATTAATCCTTTGTGGAAATGCTTAAGCTGCGTTTAATTAGAACTTGTGAAAACTGATTTCACAACTTGTAACATGCGAGTGCGCAAGAAGATTGCATTCATTTGACGAACGCTAAATAGTAGAGGACCTAAGATTTGTATGCACTTCATTTAGGAGAGGATTTCTCAACTGTAATAGACTAACATGAACCCTAGGAATAACATGGGATGTGTGCCAAAATCTCTGTCCGGGACGAACAGCCCGAAAATGACCACGCCCCTTTTTATAAGGTAGGGGTATTTTGAAATTAAGCTAGACGGTATAAGAAAATAGCAAGTGAAGAGGTTTTTGTTCTAAATTAGCACACATGACAAGGAGATTAAATTCATAAAGTTACGTCTCAGTCACTTTTTCCGTTCATATGGGTAATTCCGTGTCAAATCAACCAGAGATCCCAGGTCGACCGTCTCCGATTTTTATGAAACTTCTTAAAAATGATCCACTATGTGAAAAATCAACATACACAAAAGATTAGCATTACTGGATATGTAGTTTCCGAGATATTGACGCCCCAAAAAAGGGGCGTGGCTCTTCAAGTTGCGCAAATGCAATTTCCTCCAACTTTGGAAGATTATAACTCAGGATCGGTAATTGCAAGGTCAAACTTGGTATTCTAACTTATATTCCACCATATTACACAAATATGGCATCAGATTAACTGTTACCCCTTCTTTTTTTAAGTTATCTGCACTCAAAATAGCCACTTTGTTTTTTGTGATTTTCAAAGTCACCCTGTGTCCGTATGAGTGAGTGTATACATCTTAATTACAGATATATTATCTATGGGTAGTTGTCTCTAGCCACAAGCAAGCACAGGCTGCTCAAATGAATTAAAATGGAATGGCATCCATTCAAAGATGGGACCAGCCCTAAAAAAGTGAAAAAAGCCTATGTTTCCCATTAACGGTTCGTCATGTGGACAGTTAAAATCTTTTTTTAAATTTACACCAGTTAACCAGATGTATTAGATCTACTTATACACCAAATTTCAGCTTTGGTTCTCAGCTCCTTCATGGTTGGATACTATGTTGAAAACTACACATATTGTAAAATAATCGGAAATAGCTAAATTTTTTAAGAGTTGGGTAATTCCATGCCATGGGATCATAGATTTTTTTAAATTTTTATACTGACAGGTATTTCATGTGAAATTTTTAGACTCCAATTCCTGTTTGTTTTCCCGTAGCGGCAGTTTGATGTAAAAGGGGGCGTGGCACAAATTAGTGCACTGTGAAATTAACTTTGATGTTCGTATGTTAATATCTTTGGAAGTACAGCACCGATAACCTTCAGATTTTGTGGTGTAGGACATCTTTTGCTGTTGATTCCAAATCTGCAATCAGAAAAGTTGTAGCATGTACCATTGTAGGATAGCAATGGTCTACAAATGGGACAAAAACCTGTCTGGACCAACTTTTTGCATTTTTGGAGGGCTGTATCTGGGGAAAATAAGCTTAGTTAAGTTTATATATGTAACTATATATATGTAAGTACTACTGGGTGTGGGTTATGATTCCTAAAAATTTCCAGATTAAAAATGTTTTTCTTTAATTAAATTTAATTAATAAACTACTCGCATTCTGCTGCCTATTAGAGTATCTAATAAGGTTTTTTTTATATACTTTTCATTACTAATCCTAAAGATAGCATTTGTTGATAGTGTAATTAAAAATAAAATAATGCTAATCATTTTCTGATAACCTGCCAAGATTGATATAAAATTTTACCTTCTAGACAATTTATACCAAAATCAACACTCTCCAACTGTTGTTATGGTATTACAGCTGCATATTGGCCTGCAGGGTCAAAGGGCAGAAACGTAGTTTGTGCAATTTCTGAGTGAATTACAGTGAATCGGAACTTGAATATGTGTTGTTTGAGACCAAAACCAACTTTTCACAGTCAGTAGTTATGGGAATAGGGAAAATTTGCAAATAGGGTCAAAGGTCAAATATGGCATTTCCGGTCATTTTTTAAGCAAATGTCACATTAAAGCAAATAGAAATCTGCATGGTCTGAACAATTTTAAAAAGAAAGCAACTCGCTACGACCAGCGGTTCTCAGCACATGGGAACCCTATTTTTTCACTCCTAATTTGCATATTCAAGCTAATTTACATATGAACGGAAAATGTGACTGAGACGTAATTTTAGGAATTTAATCCCCTTGTCATGTGTGCTCATTTAGAACAAAAACCTCTACATTTGCTATTTTCTTATACCGTCTAGCTTAATTTCAAAATACCCCTTACCCTATAAAAAGGGGGCGTGGTCATTTAATAAAGTGCGTGGTAATTTTCGGGCTGTTTGTCACGGATAGAGAATTTGGCACAAATCCCATGTTATTCCAGGGTTCATATTAGTCTATAATAGTTGAGAAATTCTCTCCTAAATGAAGTGCATACAAATCTTAGTCAGGTCCTAGACTAAAATGGCTGCTGGCACTATTCCAATGTGTTCAGAAATAAAACATACAAAAAAGTTTTTTTTTTAAATCTGAAATAATATTACTTAAACAAATTGCCATAAATATGTTGGGTTGCAAATAAAACATACAAACAACACTCTTTTTTTATCTGAAATAATATTACTTAATAAACAAATTACAATAAATACCTATGCTCGTTGTGCAGAGTTTGTGTTACAGCCGCCATTTTCCACACTACTTGTGCAAATCGAGGAAGAAAATTCTACTCGAGTTCACCAAGGAGATGTACGCGTTTCACAAGTTGTGAAATGGGAAACACCGACTTTACAAGTTCTAATAAACACAGCATTAGTAGCCTGGTTCACGTCGAAATTATGTCTAGATATAGATCCACTTATCAAGACAAAAGTTCGACTTGAACCAGTCAGTTATGTCTAGATAAAGGCTTAAGTTGCCTATCGGATCCGCAAGGGGTCACTTTTAAAACCAGGATTGTAGGGAAAATTGTTGATATGTTGTACAACAAGGTGGTTAAGCCCCTTCCCCCCCCCCCCCCTTAACCATCTCCAAGTTTTTCATCAACACCCTCTTTTGAAAAATCAATTATACAAAATAGCAAAATTTGTTTCCCTCTATGAGCCTAACATTAACACTACACCACACAAACTAAATTATTGAATTCTATGTTGCAATCATTATTAATACAAAACAAAGAGTGTTTTTTTTTTTGAAAATGCACATATATGAATGTACATTTTTATTATTGTAATGGCAGGCAAAAAAGCTCTGGAAAATCTTCTGAATTTCACCAATGATAAGATAATTGAATCTATTATGAGTGTAATAAGGATGGATGACTCAGTTTTGCTTCGTCTACTTGCTGAAACGTTTGGCTTTTTCTGTTCATGTGGTAAGAACAAGCATCCATTTTTATTGATTTTGACTGGTTTTTGGGTCCGTGCAAGGCAGACACCAGAACCTCACTGCCTCAAAACTTAAAAAGCGTCCAGCGTTGCCAGTTTTGACCGGACGTGCAGGAAATTTTGTACACATAAACTAGAGGTTATTTCCAATTGGGGTTTTAGCCAGAAAAACGAAATAGGCTGTGCAATATGGAAGCAAGTGGGCGTGTCACTGAGCTAATGGGCGGCCACACCCATCATTGAGAATACCCACCGAATATTGGTACGAAAACAACGTACATTCAATCAATAAATGTTGTTTTTATCAAACGTAAATATGATTTAGCTTTAGTTTAATGTAACATTTGATAGATTTAAAGAATAAAGAATTACTGAAGGTAGACCAGGCCCAATTATTAGGCTAGGCGGAGCTGATTAGGACAAGCCGTCACTGTTAAAGTGGCCGTCCTAAATAATTGTATGCCGTCCAAGAGACGGCCAGACGACTTGCTGGGTAAGTTTGTTTCCAACAAACAATCATAGCCCTTTTTTTAAGTTTGACCCCAGCGGGCCCCCACACCTACAAAACAAAACAGGGCTTTCAGCAAGGACTGTCTGTTACTGCTATTACCACTAATAGGGCACGTTGCATGGATGGTGGTTGTCTGTTAAGGATGTGTTCTACAGAACCGAAAATCATGATTTTGATTCACGTCATGGAATTCCTTTTTTTTTATTTTTTATTTTTTTTGTCGAACAGCTCTCATTCATGTTCATTTAAAAAAAAAAAAAAAACTTGCCTATAAACTTCAAATCAGATTTTTTTTTTATAAAATGTATTTGTATTCTGCTTCCACATCGACTATTGGAATACAGCCTTTATGCCCAAAAATAAAAATGAATAGAGGTAACCACAGTTTAATGCACATACCAGTGAGTGGTCGCTTTTGTTTGTTTTTAATCAGCAGCAAATACTAATTGCAGGAAAAAATAATATGAATGATTTTCAGTCATTAGAAAACATCAGGATTTGAATCCAAAACCTTGTTTTGAAATTAATCAGTTTAACTTATACTCCATTAAAGCTAATGATTGGCTATGTTCATATGTTTTTATACATTGTTGAACATATACAGTTTGCACAATAGTGAAAAGTTCCCTCATTAAATTCTTTATGTGAAAACTATTCGATGATTGGCTTCATTTCTTAGGTGAGGGAGAGGGTTCCATAAACTGATTGGGATGCCTGAATTATGGTACAATTACTGGACATTTGCACACAAAATTATATTTTAAATAAGGTATTCAGCATGTAAAACCACTCATAGTGCTAAGCATATATGCCAAGTCTTAGTGTGCTGTAATCCATCATTCCTATTATTTGATGCAGTTGAATAAAATAACATTTTTACTTTGCTCAATTGACAGAAACTCTTCATCTACGTGTTGTGAAGGCTGGGGCATTAGCTGGTATATTGAAGTTGTCTGAGATGCATGATCCTGACCTGGTGTTCTGGTCTGCAGCATTACTCCTTAACCTTGCAATGACATCAGGTAAAATGCTTGTTATAAAATAATTTTCTGCAGCTTATTATAATAGTAATCATCACCATTATCATTTACAATATAGTCTTAAAGGTTTTACTGTCTCACATTAACTGTAAGGAGGGTATCATATTGGACGAGGTGGTGCAGTTAACAGCCAGTCCCGAATTGAGATCGACTCTGCCAAGAATAATAATAATAATAAAAATAATAATAACAACTTTATTGTCTGTCTTTTGAAAGAGTGATACAATTGTCAATGAGAAGTGCAACAAAAACAAAATAAAAAAATTTTTATTTTTTTTTAGGGTCAAATGCCATTTTTTAAGCTTGTTATATAATGATTGTTGTTTTGTTTTAGATGAGGTGAAAGTTCTTATTTTACAAGCTGGTGGATTACACACACTAATGGAACTAGCTCTTGGCGACTATGACAACAGTCAGGTGACCACTATGGCTGCCAAAACTCTTGCTATGATGGGATATGTAGGTAGGTGGTTCATGCTCATCTCATCACACTATTTTAAAGACAATTCATATAAATTCATTTATTTGTTAATTGCTTACTATAACGTACAATGTTTACAGAAAACTGCAAAAAAGTAAATTTTTGGTTAACACAATATTGTTTTCTTTTATAGAGGGTGCACTTCGTGTTAAAGTTCATTGTAATATGGATACTGCAAGGGTTTCTATCATTGACAAGGAATACAACTTGGACTCTCCGGGGGTATGTTGATGCCCGAATTATTTTTAGTACAGTTAAACTTGCCTAAGTTGACTTTTCCTAACTCGAATAATTTCTAAGTCAAACTTATTTTACATGTCAAATTGTTGTGTTTCCCATTAATTAACAATCTGTAAGTCAAATTTTATCTAATTCAAACAATTTTTCAATGGCATTTTGGATTCGACTTAGGCAAGTTCAACTGTATACACACGTCCCTATCATAATAGTAATTAGTACATGTTTCTTGTTAGTCTGTACTTAACATGCTATACTAGTCTCGTGGTAGAGTGTTATGATGAAGTAAGTGGCCTCATTATATCTTTTTATGTCATTTATTTTGCTCAACCACTGCACCCTCCCCTCCCCATTTTTAAGATAGAACATACACTCAACTATATGGTCGACTAAATGCCAAATAAATACTTATATTTAACATGTTTGGCTTCTTCAAATAATACATGGAGCACTGAATTTTGTTTATTTCAATTCATCCCAAACAAGGCAATATAATACTCAGGGTTTTAGATCAACTAATAGTAGCTAAAAACAAATTAATTGAACAGTGCTCAAAATATAAGTATATAATACTTGTTTTCACAAGATGAATTATTTAACTTCACAAGGTGAAGCTCCATTCTTCCATTTTAATGCAGAATTACTTTAGTTGCTTATCATTTTTGTATATTCATATTTTTATCCACTAGGGAGCCATTTTTAACTGTTTGTAACAACATTTTTTCACTTTATACCTATTTTTCTTGGCACTTTTACATGGCAGAAGCACTAATGTGACCATTAAGTCAAATTCCTAAATCTACGTGCTTTTTAAGCCTCATATATGAAATATGGAACATTGAAATTTTATGTCTGCTTTGTAGGCAGTGTCACATAGATGAAATATCTTACAACTAGCTAACTGTTTATAATAATACATACATGTTAATATTGTGTACAGATTAGCGTTATGATGTGGGATACATTACACAGCTCTGAATCAATTTATCAAAGCTTCAACTCCAAATCAGATGAAGCAATACCCATCAAGATACCCTGTCTCGAGGAAGCCGGACCAAATGCTATAGGCAACCTTGTATTTCTAATTATTCGAGGAGAATATGGACGAAAACTTCTCAGAGGTAAACTTCATGGAATACTTCATTAGATAGAAGAGAAATATTTGTATTGTTCAATTTAATTTAATTTATAATGTCGTCATATTTTATGACTATTTTTAAAAGTTTTATTTTATATATATATGAAAAATATTTGCCTGTATTATAGACCTAAAGGAAACCTTGAAATTCAGTGATCACACCTCAGTCACTGGTACACTGACCTCTGACCTGTTAACTCTTCCTGCCAGCCATGTTTGCATCATTGTGAGTGTATTAGATGATGACAAGAAACTGGATGTTTGGCATATTAGCAAGAACACTCAAGCAACTGATCTGCAGCTACAGTTCCCTTATGGTAATATTATCAACTTTGATTATTAAAAATATAATGCCCAGTAGTAGTAAACATCTGGATGAGCCCTCAAATTCAATTAAAACATCAGGTTTCAGAGGGTGGAATGTGGTATCAACTTTCAATGAAACTGGTACTGGTACTGGTTCGGGCATTTATAATGCGGCTCTTTCTTGCGGTTATAAAGCGCAGTTCCGTTCCCTGGTCATCAGCGCAGAAGCAGGCAACCCCACCAGGTACCTATTTATACTCCTGGGTGGAGAGAAGCAATGCAGATAAAGTGTCTTGCTCAAGGACACAAGCGAAATGCACAGCGAAGGAAACCCCGACCTCGAGGTTGGGAAACCAGACCATTCCCACTGTGCCAAACCGCATCTTACAAACACAGTTTAAAACAATTTCATGCTTGCTGTGTTCCTTGGAAGCAGCATTGAATTTTAGTTTGAGTAGTTTCTTTTTTAACATTATCGTTTTTTTTGCTATGATTATTGTTTTTCCCAAGACTGAAACCTCACTGAAGCCTCATAAAGAGACATTGTCCATCTTGTAATTGATGAGTAACTTGCTGTTTAAAGACAATGAAATAAAAATTTAAAAGAAAATATTATTTATTATGATTTTGGATTTTCTCCCCATAGCCACATAATTTCCTGATTTGCTCTAAATAATTAATCAACTCCATTATGGTATTCAATTTTATCAAACTTCCGATTTTGACTTATTTTACCTTACCACTTTTACTTCTTTTTGTATATGCCTGTACATTATCTATCTTTATGTGATTTGAGAATGAAACATTTTTCTTAACATGTGCCTCTGTTTTAGAAGAGAAGATCCAATAATAATTGTTGTTATTATTATTTTTTTTTAATTATTATTATTATTATTATTATTATTATTATATATCTGAATTCTTTATTATCCAAAGAACAAAACATTTACAATGGAAAACTAAAATGATATCAAATTTTTTTTCTTTAGATAAAAGGAGGTTGAAAAGAGGCAACTTCATGCCTATCGTGCTCAACATCCTATGAAATCAAATTGATAAATTATAACAAACACTTCATTAATAATAATATGGTAATAATAAGGTAAAACACATGCCATAAAGAGAATCGAAATTATCATTATTATTATTATTATTATTATCATTATCAGCAAGTATTGTCAAGAACCGTGTTGTCAGATTAGTCTTGGAACCAGAAATTAAACTTCTACTATCTGTGTCACTTACCAGTCCAATCAGTCGTGTTTCCAGTCTGGAACTCCTTGAGATACTAGCTCGACCTGATAGTCACAGTGTGATTCTTCTGCAATACCAGGATCTTGTACAACATTTGACTACTCCTATTTGGTGAGTAGTGACTCAACGATTGGTTAAAGGGGATTCCACATCTCATTCAGTTTGTATGCATGTAAAAAAATGTATTCTATGTTGGAGTGGGTTTCTATGGGAGCCAGAGGTCCAAAGCATCTTGGTGCCCTAATGGGGTCCATGGGAAGAGCTGTTTATTCGGGGTAAGGAGACAAAGCATCCTGGAACTGAACTATTCAATTATATGAATGATCAATTTTGTCATCATTTTACTGGTTTTTGATGCAATGAGAGGGGTTTGCTCAAAAAAGGAACTTCCTCGTTATGGGTCTGTAACTTACAACAATATCACATATCATTCTTTTTCGCATTTTCTTATAAGTTGCCTATTAGATAACACTTTCATAATAAATGAACATATTGACATCTAAAACAAAATCTTGTTTTTCGTTTTCTAAGGTATTGTTCCAAAAAAGGTTTAGATGAGAGCCAGGGAGAACCTGTTCTTGTAGCACATTGTGTTGGAGCGCTGAAACTATTACTAGTGCTTACTGTACATGGTAGTGTAATACTTTATTATTATTTATCTAATTTGTTCTTGTGGTAAATTTTTTATGCCATGGTTCTTCTTACAGTATGTGCAAAAAATATCTTCATTCTCTTTCAACTGTGACACACCTGTCTCATATACTATGTAGAAAGTTATTTATTTACTTTATTTAGATTCATTAATCACCCATTTGTAACTGTTATGTCAAATGCACCTACCAATACTGCTGTCCTTTTTATATCCCAAGTGGCGAATGTAATCTTTTTTAAGGAAATGGTGGTAAATTACTTGTCAGTACTGGTGCTGCACTAGGCTGCTGCCGGTCCCCATGCACCCAGCCAAAATTTCCAATTTCAATATTGAACAAAAAAGGAAGTTTTATTTTATTTTTATTTTCTTTTTATTTTAATTAGTTTAAGATATCTAAGTATTCTAATCATCTATAAAATAAGGATTTGTGAGGTCATAATTGATTGAGAGTCATTTATGACCTACTTCTATATTGCTTATTCCTTGCGGTTTCAAACACTAACTACGCTTCACTATAATTACTATTTCATGAAGTACAGCCTACCCCAACCAAAGCCAACAGAGTATGATTTCAAGGGTCATACACCTAAGTAAATTAATAGTAAAAAAGGATAAAAAGATGAAAATGAAATTAGTGCAAAACTACCAAACCCAGCCCTAGTTCTTAATGGAAAGAGGCAGGATATTCCATAATCGAGCTGCTGTAGATGGGAAAGAGTCATAGCCAATACGCTTATGGAACATTGGTCTTAAACAATATATATGGTGAAGGCTGATCGAGTTGATTGCAAATTTGTATGTTTATTAATGAATTCAGATATGTACATAATAACAACAGGGGTGTCATTTTGAAAGTATATTGGAGGTGGAACTTGTCGCAAAGCAACATGTGATGGGCTTGAGCCCCGAACAGGGGTGTCCCTCGTTACCCTTAAGAAAAAAGAAAAAAAAAAGAAAAATTATATCCCTAAGATTCCATTTTGCAGGTGTTTGATTGTTGGAATTTCACTTTTAAGTTGTGTGTTAAATTTTATTATCAAAGGACAATAAAATGAAAGCAAAATAAAGGCTCATTTTGAAGGAGCATGAGTGGATCGCGTCTCTCAACATGCTTTCAGAGGAGAGCAATTGATCATGCTCCTTGATTTACCAGGCAACTAAACAAATGACAAAAGTTGTATTTTGAAAAGTGTTCCATAATCAAAATCTACCAAATTTTGCATTAAACCACATTCCGGTGTATTAGCCCTCAAATTTTATGTGCGATGAATTAACCTAGTCAATATCTGAGACTACAGTTTTACAATTATACAATTTTAATTTCAATTTCAGATCAGTATCGCAAAAGCATTCTCCTGCAGGACACTGTTAATGCTGTCACATCATTGCTGTATGATCTTGTTAGTATCTGGCTCACTTCCACTCTGGAAGGGAGTCTACCAATTAACAGACCATTCAGTAGGGCTGGACGAGAGTCTAATGTTGTCAGCAGCTTGTAAGTAGGGGTTATATAATTGAATGAACCCATCCACCTAAGCTGGATCCAATAAATATCCAGCTAGGCTGGCTCTGCTATGGCTTCACTGATATACAGTGGAAGTAAATTTAAAATTGTTGGTGTAACTAAACATTTTTTTTAATTCAGGGGCAATCTAGATAATATAATCAGAAACAGTATTTATTTATTTATAAAAAAAAATCTAGCAATTGTTCGTCCCATTTATCACTAAGTTTACTCCACCCTAATGAACTTAAAATATTTACAACAGGGGTTTTTATGTCAGCAGAAATTAAAATTCTTCCTAATCTGTTTAAAAGTATTTGAAGAGGCTTTGAAAGTGTAATATTACAGTTGGACCAAACACAATTACAGTATTCAAAAAGAGGCATAACTAGAGCATTAGCCAACATCTTAAGAGTATTTTGGGGTAAAAAATATTTAACACGACGGATAACACCAATGCGTTTAGAGATGTTACCAGTTAATTTTTCAATATGTTCAGACCAAGTCAATTTAGAATCAAACACAACTCCAAGATATTTGAAAGAATCAACTCTGTCAATAGTCATGCCATCAGTACAATTATTAAAAAATAATAAAACAAAATTATTAGAGACATTCATAAATAACAATATTTATAACAATAATATATAGTTGAAGTGAATTTAAAATTGTTGGTGCAAGGTAACTAAAACTATTTTTTAATTCTTATTGTATACCATAAAACCTGGAATAGAAGCCCTAGGCTATCTTAGAAAAGAAGTCCATCTTTCAAGATGGACTTCTTTTCAATGATAATTTTGCAAACTTAAGAGGTGGGCTTCAATTCCAGATGCGCTTCTTCTCAAGATTAAGCCCATTGGGCTTCAATTCGAGGTTTTACAGTATTTTATTAAAAAGCAATTAAAATTGATAATAGTATATAAAATTGTCGCTTATAGTTTAAGACTAATTTCAAAAACCAAATACAAAAAGTATTTGGGTTTAGAAATATGCAAAAATGACCCTGAGTTTTTGCATGTGAAGATATAGTGACTAGGGATATTCCCCAGTGAGTAAAGATTTGATTAAATGTTTTAAAATTGCATTAGCTGTTTCCTAGGAATAGCATCTGCTGTACTACATTTTCAACTTTTATCTCCACTGGGTTTCATACCACCTTTGGAAATAAGTTCTTTCTTTTTTCAACTTTATATAGGTTATCATGGTTTCATTATGTTTTATTGTTCCATGTGTTTTTTGTAATTTGAGGCATGTTGTGGCAAAATGGCTGAGTATGTGATCTTTAAAATGAGGGGTCATTCACTGAAATTGGACATTTCAAGCCTACATTATTAGAAAGTAAAAGTACAGCACACTTAGAGTCAAGATAAACATGATTTTGAGTAATTGCCTTCCAAAGTTATTTGTGCATAAAAAACATTAAATAAACGATTTGATGACCATTTCCAGAACTAATACTTTGGGACATGATTAATAAGACATTATACTCTTGATCTATAGTGAAAAAAAAAATTGGATTTTTAGGCAATTTTTGAGCTCCCATATTTTATAGCTTATTTACTTAACTTAACCATTTTGCCACACCTCATTTTATCTGTACAGTATTGTAATTTATTGGAAACCGAATAAAGTAAAATCAAATCATATGTGAACAACTTTCCATGAGGTGAGTAGGTCTGGTAAATATAGCATTTTCTCACATAATACTTTGTACTGTATATTTCCAACTTTTTCAAAACAATTTAGGTACTTTTCTGAAGCAAGACATGATAGTTTAGCAGACAGCATTAGTGTAGACAGCATCCAGGATACAATTTCTACAATATCAAGTATTATCCAGACATACAGACCAGTTGCCATGATTGGAGAGGCAGATCCAGATCAACAAGCGAGGGCAGCACAAGTAGAATATGATAATGGAAACAGTAGAATGTCAGAGTTGCCAGGAGGTATAGTTTGTGCTCTCTATGTATTCTTAAAAAAGAATTTAGTAAAACTGCTACTTTTATGTCTGGTATAAGCTGACAAGTAGGTTTTCCAATTCTGCACAGCTATTTTTAATTGCATACAAAATAGGCCTACAACATTAAGAATTAACAATGTCAATTTTATGACAAAAAGGTATGCATAAAGTTTTTGCTGATACTTCTTGATTTTTGTCATACTAGTTCATAGCTAACAACTACTGCCAGATCTTGTGAAAATTCATCAACAAACTTAATTAAACATTATTAAAGATACATTAGTATTTTAAGGGAAGAGCTGTCAGTACCACAATAGTATACCAGGATTACATGCTCAATTTCTGATGATTAATATTGACTTCCTGAATATGATGAATTGATTTGAATAGTGATGATCTGATATTTTTTATAATGGTTAACAATGGGTGCTCTCTGGCTGTTGGTTATATTTCTTTTTTAATTACAATCTGTCCTAAAGTTACTATTAGATACTCAAAGGAACTGTAGAAATGTTTAATTATTTTATCCAAACTGTATCCCAAAATCCCCAAAAATAACTCAGTAATGAAGGCTCAACTTAATTTATTAGTAAATGTATGTAACAATCGCTTATAATACTTTTCTATTAGATCAGAAACATGCCTTTGCCTCTCAACTGATGATGTCTCTCTGAAAATACTTGTGTATGCCAAAAACCTTGATCCTTTCCTCAATGCAAGCTGTAGATACAGCACTCACAGCCTGGGAACCTCAAAATCTATAATATTTAGGCCCCAAAGACAGCTAGGTAAACTAAACATCTCTGATGGTTCTTTCAGGAATAGGTAGAGCATGCATGCCTAATTAATTTTACTCAATACCATTTTTCCATATTGATCTTCCTGCAAAAATTGTTGTCAGTTGATGTGGAAGAATCCTCTAGAAGTATGACAGAATGATATGTACAGTAGAATATTATTTCAATATCATCAGAGTTTTGATTTAATTTCAAGAAAAAAAGTTCATTAGTAACAAATAGCAGGCACTACTGTATATCGACTTAGTGACTGCTCAGGGATGGGAAAATTACATTCAAATGAAAATAATGACGTCCCTATTCAGTTACAACCATTTTTTATTGTTCTTGTCTCTAGGTTTTCCACGAAGCCAGCATGCGGACATTTACACATCATTAACCCAACATTCCATTCAGTTTCTGGTAAATCTAGCAGCAATACAGGACCAAGGTAAAGTATCAATGTATCTTGACTTTTAATAATTTTAAATTTCTCTTATCTGCGCTGCTGTCGTCGCCGCTACTTATTTTGCTGTCGCTGTTTGCGCTTTTCTGCTACCATCATTTATTGTTGCTATCAGGGAGTTTCTGAGAATACCCACATGTTTTTTCTAGTGGCTGAAAGTAAGGATACATTGTTTCTTGCGTGCTGTGCTTTTTTGTCATTTCTGAGCTGCATGTTTACATATGTATGTAATACATGTTACATATTTATGTCCGTAAGAGTTGTGAGATTATTTGACTTTAGAAAATGTTAAACGTCTGTCCTTAAACCCCTTCTGAAATCTTTGATAGCAGTGGTCAGTATTTAATAGAATATTTCTATTTTAAATGCTCTCTCTGTGAATCAGTCAGTAATTAGTCAAAATGCTTCACTGTGTTCTTACTTTGTAAATTGTAATCTTCCAATTTGTATCAATCATTTCATGACCCTGATGATGTAATTCAGAAATGGAAATTGACAAGTTTCAGAGAAAGACTTCAGCTGGATTTGATAGCTTGTAATTTGGTTGATGCATTGTTGGTTGCAGTTAAGGTTCCTCCAATAAAAAAATTCAGTATATATTAAAAAGAGTTCATTTGATTTTTCAAGGCTGAAAAGCTATTTGATTCTTTTCTGTTTACCTTCTCAACTCTTGCAAACCCTCCTTGAGGGCAGTGGACTTGTTATTTACTATACCCTGACAGCACCAATTTGGCATGACCCACAAGTTACACATTTTAAGAATCAATATTTAGGCTTCTAAAGGAACCGGTACTCTGAAAGATCCCTTCCACCACATCATTTAGTGAAGCACAATGCACATATGTATGTGAATATTTTACCCCTTTATCCTGATACATTGCCACATAGGCTTCTCTTTTTTCCTTATCTTCCCTCATGATGGAAGCACACTTGCAAACTTGTCCTTAAAATGTTAGTTAAATCTATAACAAATTTGTATTCTTCAAAACTGTAGCGGTTGCATATGTCGCAGGGATGAACACTGTAAACAATAGGCAATTTGAGTCAGGAGAATCAAGTGTAGGTGTAATTTTGCCCTACTTGACGTGGACATAACAATTACTATCAACATTGCAGTACCCGCTGCTTACTTGGACTCGCATTCAACCCTGGCCATCAGGCACAAGCTCTGCGGTCTAGAAGTATGATGCCAAGCTAGTGATCTAGAGATCGTGGGTTTAAGTCCCACCCGAGAACAGCTTGCGATTTTTTTCGCAATTGTTTTCACACGTACTGAGTATTCAGTACATTTCCACATCAGGTAGAGCAAAATTACACCTATACTTATTTATTATTATATATTTTTATTATCATGTTTATGAAAATGTAATGTTTTATTGTACATCTTATTTTATATTTTGTTAGACTTATTTAAGGTTGTTCAGATGATGTTGATTAAAACAGGAACTGCTCATCTTCTGTGGGCTTTGCTTCTTCTCAGTCAAGACAATTTAAAGAATTCTATTAGTGTAAGTACTTTACTGTATTCATAAAAAAGACCACAATCTTGCTGAAAACATTTGGTCTAAATATTTGATTTACACTTGAATGTATTTTGTTCAGATGTGGCAAAGACCAGCCAAACCAGTCACTCATCGCTATTTCAGAGATATTGACCAAAACATGCTAGAAAGTCACCATTTTTGAAATCTATTTTATTGCACTAAACTAACTTTTGTATATCTATACATCATATATGCTGTTAGTTTCCCTCTTTTCTATGTTAAAACAACAATTTTTAACGATTTAGTGATGGTTTTTGAATTAGAAATGCCCGAAATCATTAACTTTTAAGGCTGATTTCTAAAAATTGTCGGATTTAAATGATTCTTTTAGCATTTTATTGCTCTCATTTTACTGTTTAACTCTATATTAATTACTAAACATTGATTATTGCAACAAGTGACTGGTTTATAGTATTGTGTATTAGACGCCTTAACAAAATTAATTGACTTTCTTAGTCATTTTATAATGTGGTAGATAAAGACTCACATTCTAGCCTCATATCCCTTGGAAATCTTTAAAATATTACAGAATTAGTAAAACAGATATTTAGAATTACCATAATAGAATATTTGATAAGTCATCTTCATCACAACATATGATCTTAGTGCAATAAAGAAAAGTTTAGATCTTTTCTGCATATATCTTTATGATTATTTGTCTAATTTGTTGTACTCGCATATGTGAAGGACTTTATTTCACCTTATATTTCTCTTAATACTCTGTAGTTTTCCATGTATTTTATTATCTAAAATATATTATTATTAAGCATGAATTATTCCTGAGGAAGAGGATTCCAATAAATTTGATATTTTTGAATCTCCATAGCTTGCTATTTCGTCAACTTTGTCACTGTTGTCAGCAGTAGACCTAAGCTCTTCAGCGAACAATACCGTGCGATTGGATCTCACTACTAAAACGCCGGCTCTGATCTTTAGCGCAAATGCACTGGAAGTGCGCAATGATAGCTGGACATTTGAAAGCATTCTGGCCAATGTTGCTGTACCGAGTCAAGGATTAATTTTACCAAATGGATGGTACTTTGAGGTATGGTATGATACAGTACTCGAATGTTGCATTTTCAGTTTCATGTTGGATTAAATTTTTTTGTGCAAAACACTCAAGGATATTTAACAAAAGTTACAATGCTTTTTCCAGTAATGTACTTCTGATGCTAAAAATATTCAGTACACAAGGAGAAAAACCCCTGCTCTGTTTGAAGGAGTCAGCAGCTTAGCTCAGTGGGCTAATCTGGTGGTAGCCACTGTGTGTGCACTGAACCGTGGACATCTCAAGGTCCACGGTTCAATTCCCATTGCTGTCTCTTTTGGTGTTTCAGATGGAGGGCTGAAATACAAGTTACAGTAGCGCACCGTCTTTCAGATGAGACGTTTAAGCTGTTAGCCTCTGCTTATTTATTTCCCATGTGCACGTTAAAGAACGCACTACGCTCTTCGGAAAAGAGTAGGTAATTGTCTCCTGGTGTACTATCCAAATACCACCAGAAGGACCCACTGGAAATAAGTCTTCTTCTAGACTTGCATGGGCTGTCCTTTGTGTTTACACCAAATAAATCCAATCCAATCCAACTGTGTACTTTGAAGTCTACATATGCCATACTGCACACAATATTAACGTTTTAAACATCTCACCTGAGAGATGGTGCAACACACAAAGAGAGCAGTGATGGAAAGAAACCAGGGACGAAAGGTCTGAATGGATCTTTCACCACTTTTGTTTCTTGTTTTTTTAGGTTGAACTACGATCTTCAGGAATAGTACAGATTGGTTTTGCAACTAAACATTCTGCATTAGAGCCAGAAAAAGGTAGCATATTAATAATTACACAGCACTGATGGCAACTCGGTGGTTAACATTCTTGCTTTTTTAACATTTCAGGTCCTGGTAAAATCATGTCAAATGCTTTTTTCAACCACTCATCCTAATTATGAGACTTTAAGATATGGGAAGATTATTTAGGATTATGCTTTTTAAAGAGTCACACTTAGTAATATATGCCTCATTCTTCTTATAATCATGAGATATATTCATTTACCATATCAATTATTATGTATTTTTTCATCAGAATAATTTACACTTTACAATGTGCTAGTAATGTTCTCAGTATGAGGCTAAAGAATTGATTGATACAACTTAAGTCTTCAACATTTTTAAAGATTCCTCCCCATTATTTAAATTGTTTAGGAATTGGTATTGGAGATGATACTGAATCTTATGCGTTTGATGGGGCTCGATGTAAACTCTGGAGTGGACCAATCACAGAACTGATGGTAAGAACATTTCTTGGTTGAATTTTTCAAGTACAATTTTATAGCAGAAGTGAATGTCAATATAATAATTATATACTCTATGCCCACTTCATTAATATTTACCTGGACATACCAGTTCTATTATTTGTAATGAGGTATTGTTATCTCTCACTTGCACTACTAAAATCAATTTTGATTTGTTTAATAAATAATATTAATATAATAATATAATATAATATAATAATAATATAATATAATAATATAATATATATTAATATTAGCATTATGTATCTTTGACCCAGTTGGCTAAATACCTCACCAATTGTTAATTTTGACTGGTGTAAAATACTAATCCATGTTTTAAAAACTGAAAACAAGGGGCTAGACTGCTGATTTGAAATTTATTTTTAAAATGCATTTACCTGCCCAAGAAAAGGTATTAAGATACTTCAGCCAAAGAAATTTACAAGTGCTGACTTTTTTTTGCAAAAACCAACTCAAAAAAGACATAAGATGGTGGCGGCTATTATAAGACATCTCAGAATCATGCTGAAGCCTATGCTGGACTAACTGTCACAGGTCCGAGAATGCCAGGCCCGGATCCAATGGGGCCAATAGGGGACAGATGTCCTCCTTGTTTTGACACTAAATGCTTACATTTCAGTGCATATCAATGTTATGTATTAAACTAAGAAAAATAAAAAGAATACAAATGCCCCTCCATTTGAACAATTCTGGATCCACCCCTGAAGGCAAAAGGAAATGTGACAGACTAAGAATTATCTACCCTTGAGTTGTAAAGGAAATGCAAAATGATTTGGAGAAGATCGTTAGCCAAAGATCGGATTGAAGAGTATTATTTAAACTCCTATCTCCACAGAAAGAAGAATTAAAATTGCTTGTTTGTATGTCTCCCTTATTTATGCCCTTTTTGATGGTTTTTGTTTTTCAAGTTTTGTACATTTCCCTTTTGTATTTTCGATGTTGTAATGTGTCCGGTTTTCTTATTTTGATAAATTTAACTAGAGTATTTTAAATAATTTCAACATTTTTAATTTTGTTTCATTGAATTATTCTGTACACTTCAAATTTTCCTTAAATTTGCAATAAAGTTTTTTTGAATTTTGAATCTTGAATCTTGATTTGAATGAATTTGCAATTTTGAATATGAAAAAAAGCAATTTGAATATCATTTTCTTAACAGAGCAACGACTATGGAATGCAGTGGCAAGAAGGTGACATCATCAGCTGCTTGATTGACAAGCATGGGAACATCTCTTATTGGCTAAGAGGATTGAATATGGGTGTGGCCTTTGTAGATATAGATCTGAAGAGATGCTTCTACCCAGCATGCTCTTTATCAACCAATCAGGAAATTGCTTTTAATTTTGGTGACAGGCCTTTCAGGTACTTCTTAAAAGAATTCACATACTTTAATAAAAATTGTAAACTACTTGAATGATGTGCATTAGCTGCATGTGTGTCAGATGACACCGCAAAGAATATTTTGTTGCTAGGTCCAGCCGAAGGCAAGCGTTGAGCCTAACCAAATTTGCTCCCAGGTGGTGCTGGTGACCACAAACAAAGCCAGTACTATGCTAGCTCTACAGAAACCTAGTTGAGATAATATATTAATGCTTGCGGTACACCACGTAGGTAGTTCTGAAAAGAATTGTTCAACAGTTCTTTTCGGAACTATCTATGTGGCGTACCGCAAGCATTAAGATATTATTACTTCACCATGCAAACATTCAAACAATATCTAGTTGAGATAGTTAAAAAGTATTGTCAAGTCACTTCAGCCACTGTTTTGGAAAATAGAGCCATTATTTAATTCAACATTCATATTGTCAGGTCTAATGGATGTATTGTACTGAAAAATATATGCTGATTAAAATACTTAAAAGGCTCTTTACTTTTGTTGTTTTTGTAGGTATGCTAACATTATGCCCGTCGGTTACGTTGCTTACCGCGAAATCATCTCCACACCTGTTTCATTTTCATCTCGTTACCATGACGTGCCTGGAGTTTCCTGGTGGATTCCTTTTGAAGACCTCGACGATAAGGATGCATTTGATGAGGAAGAGGAGGACATTATTCTGACAGAAGACCTTGAAGATGAAACATTGATTGGAGAGGTTAATGGATGTGGAGAAGAAATGGCCATCTGGACGGACCAGGATGAGGAGATTCTTATCAAGGATAGTATGACAGAAATGGGAGGAGGAGACAAACAAGGTGCCATACCGTTTAAGAATGATGGTGGAGAGATCCTTTCCAAAGTGGATTCTGAGACTACATCTTCACCTGGTGAAGTGGATCAAGAACTTGCAAGAGATTCTCCCACTCTTGCAGCTTCTAATGAAACATCTCTTAACTGCCCTGATCATGTCACGATAAACCCTGAAAATGAAAAACATCCAAAGGAATGCTTTGACAATAATGATATTGACACTAATCAACCAATCAGAGATGTGCAAAGTTCATTAGCTGGTGATGAGTATCCAGATCCTTCGTTGTATTTTGAAGTATTAGTGACTGCAGACTCACCTAAGTAATGTCAGCTTTAAATTTTTGTTACCTTCTCTACTATGTGTTTTACACCATGTCAACTAGTTTGCTATCGGTTCACTTTCTAGGAATAAATCTAGTACAGTATTTGGAAAATTGTAGTGGGTGAAGGGGAAGGCTGTGATTCCAGAGTCGTGACACTTAGTAGGATAGAAGAAATCATGGAACCTTTTTCACTGATCTCTACTAGAATGACTGATTTCTCAGGTCACTCACAGTACAGGAAAGACCAAAGCCACTTACACCATGTGCAATTTGATTAAATTATTTTTAAAAATAACAATTCTTGCAATATTTATTAATAAAATATTTAAATTTTTGGAAATGTTTTTCTTCACATCAATCTAACCACTCAATGTGCCTTTCTGTGCAGTTTACAAAAGCGCAAGTGACGGCGCCTTGTTGATCGCCACCCCGGCTCAAAATGTTTATGCAGTAATCACGTATTTGTGGTGCTTTAGGCTCCCGAACATTGTGTCAGTGTCTTCTAAAATATCAACCAATGAGCAATCCAGCCATTATAGTAGAGATCAGTGGGCCTTTTGTCCTCACCATTTACTAATTTTTCTTGAAATGTGTTACACTGATGTTTTGATTTTGTAGCTCTGTGATTGTTGGATACACAAGTATTGATGGTATGGACCAAGTTTGTGTTATCTATAGCACAGATGGAACACTACAACTACCAGATGACAGTACTATTCAGGTAATTTTTTTTTCCTAATAAAAATTTGTAGGTTATAAGTGATTGGCTTACATGCAGCATGGAAATACATGCTGGTTCAATAGACACAATTAGCGACTCAGATCACATAATCTATAGTGGATATAAATTGTAAACAGGCAACGCCGTTACACTTGGTAATAATAATAATAGTTGGATTTGTATAGCGCATCATGCGAAAAAGCCTCTATGCGCTTGGTGATTGAGCTCTTTGAGTTTGACATTTTGAAAAAAGTTTATGTTATTTTATGAAACTAAAAAACCTACTCCTTAAACTAAGGAATGGTTGGCCGTTGACTCCAAGGAGTTCATCCACCCTTTGTTCAGCTGTTTTTTTTTCATGCTGCTGAGTGTCCCTCCAGCCTCTCATCGGCGGCCGCTAAAGACCACCAGATAGGGAAATGCATGTTTCTGATGTTAGTGTAAGGCACTTCATGATGTTGAATAATTTTGGTTGAGCTGCCAGTAAACCATACGAAATTGATTGGAAATTTAGCTTGAGAATACTGCCATAATGGTTTCCTAATGCTATGAAAGATTTCTGGCCCCAGATATACTGATTTTTTTTTTTAATGTTAGGCTTAGGTCCCTGCATATCTACAGCCTGTTTAGGTATGCAAAAGAGTTCAATCTGTGAACTGCAAGTCGGACATGCAATTCTTAGACCAACTCAAGGTTTACAAAAGATCACATAATTTCCGAATCCCAAAATGCACAGAAAACACTAGAATTAGTATATAAACACTATTTTGAACAGTCGTATTGCCTTTTTTTACCATTTATTTCACACATTAACAGTGGGCGGTTGTTTTTAAAACCAAAAAAAAAAACATTACCTTTCCAATACTTTTACACTGATCACACTTTAAGTTATACCTGTTATACATCACATAACCACTACGAAACTGTTTCCCAGTCACTGATTGTGTATATTGCATCCAGGGATTCTTGTTTTTTAGGGGTGGAAACACAACTTCCATAGAACACTGAATAAGTCATTCCCTCCTTGTATTTCCATAAAATAGCAGAGTATACACCAATAGTGCACAAATATGTGGGTGGTGAGAGGAGGTGTTAGGGATGATAGTGGTGATGGTGGCGATGATGATGATGATGACGATGATGATTAATTTTATCATGTTCTTATAGTGTAAAGTGAATGGAAACACAACCCTTGGATGTGGGCTGCTGCTACCTCCTGGATCCATATTCTTTACAATCAATGGACATCCAATAAGTAAGTTAAAATTATTAACAAGACTTTCTATTTATTTGAAAACTAAAATGTTTTAATATTTTTTGTAAGATTTTTCCGAAAGAGAAATTAGAGATATTTTTTACATAGTCTGTGATGATAAAGCCAAAAATAAGTTGTGATTTTCAAAATTTAGATTTGTTCAGGTTTTTGCAACACAGGTATGTTTTGCTATGCCTTTGTTTAAGCTGATTCATTTGACTATTATTATTGTACTTTTGTTCCATTGGGTTTGTTGCCTAAAAAGGACAAAATCCAAGCAGAGCTTTACTGTAGTTGCAGGGATAATGAAAAACTAAAACAGTAATTTATGTTTTGACTACAATAATAATTATATATTTCTTCTTCATTCTTTTCTAAAATATAGAGCGACTGTTTTCTTTTGTTAATGAAGAAGTTGGGACATCTCCACTTGTACCGATCACAAACACAACATTACTGGACTTCAATTTCGGAAACAGATTGTTTTTGTATAGTTCACCAAACCATCTGGAACAGAGGATCTCAATGGCAGCAATCTTGCATGATTTCCAGCAAAATAGGACAGTAGAGACTCGTGGTTACACGGAACAGGCTGGAAAAGATTAGGAATCTGTCCAGATAATGATGCAAAATTAATAGGACAATAGAGGCTGGCGGTTGCACGGAACAGGCTAAAAAAGATTGGGAATCTGTCCAGATAATGATGCAAAATTAATAGGACAATAGAGACTAGCAGTTGCATGGAACTGGCTAAAAAAGATTGGGAATTTGTCCAGATAATGATGCTACATACTGACATACACAACTGAGTTGAAGAAATATTAGGTGCTGAGTGCCTAACATTTTATGCACCCTGGTGAGCAAATTGTTTATCACACATCAGGAGCGCTGATAAGAAAATGTACAGAACTAGAAATTCACATTGGCATAAACAAGACAAAACAAATAGATTATACCATTTGAAATCACTATAATGTACCATTTTTTTAAATTAAAAAACTATATTGAATGGTGTTAAGGCTAAAAACAGATCTATTTAAGAAACAATGGTAATGGAATAATAATAATAATAATTTATTTGGATATGCACTTTTGAATCAGTGGCACTCAACCACAGGGGTGGTGCATCCTATCAAGAAAATATATAAAAATTACAATCAAAAAGAAAGACATCAAAAAAACAAGATAATCAAATTAGCTAAAACTAAAAGAGAAAATATTTCAACAATACTCATTAGTACAAAGGTCACTGGTGATAAAATACTCCCATACATTTAGGCAATCAGTATTAACTAGCATATTTTCTAAAACATGATATTCTTCAATTCTAATGGTGTTTAGTTGATTACATGTGAATAAAAAATGTTGTATATCTTCAACACCATTATTACGCAATTGGCAGTGCCATCACTATTGGGTACCCATTTACAGCTCCTATGTCCTAATTGAAGAGTATTTGACCTCATTTTGAATTTTAGGCTTGCACCCATAAAATCTGTCTGGCCAAGTAAATATTTTTCCATATTCAGACTGCTCTTAATTGAAGAATATTCAAAAGTGACAATTTTCTTAACATTTCGCTATTCCAAAAAGAAACATATGAATCAAGAATGAACTCTTTGAAATCGTTAACCCAACACATATCGGATGCAACTCCAAGTCATGAATTTTCAAAGATTGAACCAATTTCCAACATTATATCAGTACAAGTCTTAATGAAACTAGAGAGCAGTTTATAGCATGGCTCATCAATACTATTTAGACTACGGGATGTATTAAGCATAAAGTTTGGCCATCTATGCTTATCTAAATTCATTACATGATTAATGTATTTAGCTCTAAGTATGTCCCAGCCTAGGTCCCCATATAGAGCTTCTTCTGGTGTGTTTCTGGATGCTTTAAGGACATATCGTGCCATTTGACGTAATTTTGTCAATGTCCTTTTGGCTTTTGCTAATCCACACTGAACAAGCATAGAATATATTAATACAAAAATGAGTAAAGCCATGGATTCTTATCATACATGATTACATAACCATGTAAGATAATCTCTTTAGTACTGGGGTCCCAAATCCCCCAGCAGTCGCTGGAGTCTCCTGGAAATCGGGACAGCCTTCCGCAAGCAAGCAAGAATCTACAAAAAGAACACATAATTTAGTTTATATACCGTCATTTAAACTTTGAATTGTGGATTTTTTTGCAGTCCGACGTGAATAAAATGAAGTGTTCCTTATTTGATCGATTAATATAAATTATGCTTTAAAGGTGTACTGTCTGCCACAGAATTTGGGTAAAATTCAAAAATGCAATTAAAATTGAATAGGTACTTTAAAGGATCAAATAAGTTACTAACCACAAACAAAGTTTTAAAAATAAAGTGTTAGGCTGATTTCAGATAATTTAATCCAAAAATCTTTGTTGGTTACCATAAGGGGGTATGCAAATATTATAAAAAATGTACTATATAACTATATAAATTGACAGGAAAATGTTTATTCATTCAAATTTTAATTTTGGTTTTTTGTTTTTTTTTTTTGCTCAAGACAGAGTACATAATTATTTATTTCTTCAACATTTCTATCACAATGTTGAAGAAATTCTGTATTCAAATGAAAAACTGTGAGTTGCAGTTGTCATAAGCCATCATCACATTTATGAACTTTACAATAATTATTTGTTAATTTATTCTGGCCATAGTTTGACTAGGATATTCTGCCACTGTTATTGTATTTGTATTTGGGCTTATTTTTGTGATGTGAATATTGTAAATACATTTACTGAAACACAATTGTTTGGTGGTACATTTGCTTTTTTTAACACTTGTTTGATTCCACAGTCGACCCTTCCACTTTGCTCTACCACTTGGATATTGTCCCACAAAACGAGAGCGCAAGCGTACATAGCCACAGGAATTTGTTAAAAATATTATTTGCTTATACTGTATCCAAATAACGTTATTTTGATTGCCAATCCCAATTGTTTTAGTCTAAAAGCACAATGGACCTTTCCGCTAAGCTCCGCCCCTTGGATATTGTTGCTAAGGTCCCACAAGACGGCAGTGTTAAAACATACGCGAACACGTGCGTTTGTGGGACAACACGTGTGTTTGTAAGACGCGCGCGTATTCCTAGCGCTGTTCTGATTAGTCAGTTGTTAAGTTTGATTGACACTCCGGAAAGGTCTATTTGGACCATACTAAGCTCTAAAAACTCTCCCGTGAACCCTACCAGGGTACAAAAAGAAAAGTTTATCTTACCGTGGTGCTATTCTCTGGAACACACTGGATGAGCGTGTTGGAAATGCATCAAATGTTAAAATATTTAAAACACTTTTGTAAAATTTTTGGTTTATCCTTCATTTTTTGTATCTCGTATTCGTATATACAGTAATTTTGTCTTTTTTTGTGATTATGCAGGGGTGGATTTAGGGGGGGCCGGCCCGGCCCCGGCCCCCCCTTTTGGGAGGTAAAAAAAAAGAAAAAAAGAAGAAAAAAAGAAGAAAAAAAGAAGAAAAAAAGAGAGAAAAAGAAAAAAATGATAGCCCAGAATGCCTCAAATGTTATGTTCGGGCGTCTAGAACACAAAAATTTCGCGGGGCCATGCCCCGGACCACCTACGACAGTGTTGTCTCAATCGGCCCCCCTTCCGGCTCCCCCTTTTGGACATTTCTGGATCCGCCCCTGTTATGTGTTAGTATTTTTTTTTATATACTGTTATTTTTCAATTTCAATGACAACACGGCCTTGTAGAATAACATCCTCTGGGTGAAACAAGCTTTTCGTGTAAAAATAAAGTTTTAATATTAATAATAATAATAATAATATGTTTTAAGCCGGCACCAGGTCCGAGGCTCTAGTCGCCTCCTTGGTTCACACCCATGTCGGACCCTTTGTCGGAAAATTTCTGGAGCCACCACTGAGCCCTTTTTGAGTCTTCGCTAATTCCATCATGATATTTTAAATGTGCTCATTTTTTAAGCATGTTTGTCATTGTTATTCTAAGTATTTTTAACGAATAAATGGCGTGCCGAGGCTTCAAGTGAAATATTCTACAAAAATTTTATTAGACAGTAGTAAATTCCTCATTTAATATGTTATAATCTACTACCTAAATCAAGCTTTACCGGTTTAAACTATAGTGTTGATTAATGTAATTCAATTAGAGAACTGCATTTCAATGTATTCTTAGAACCTACGCTACTATTATATTACATACACAAACTTCCAATGAAAATCACTAAAACTTTAAAACAAAAAAAACAATATATCTCATTTTAAAATCAAGTTAATTAACCACGGTAAAGAGATTAGGAAAAAAAATTAATATGCCTATTTTTCACTGATTTATAGACATTTAACTACAAAAAAAATCAATTTAAGGCTCTATTCAAAAGTGTGATGGAGAATTTTATTTTCATTCATATTTTCAAATGTAAGGCACTGTAGCCTACACTAGGCCCCTACGTGCCTACTAGTTGTCATGTGTTGATAAATGAAAAAAGTTTTGAGCCCCTGCTCAATATCTATTATTAGGGGTACCAGTGTAGGTGATTATCACACTCAGTGGCAGATCCAGGAATTCGAAATAGAGGGGAAATGAGGGGGTGGGGGGAGGCGAAGGTAGGGTGGTGGGACTTGCAGTCAACACACAGTTCAGTAGGCTAGGCCTAGTTTAAGTTAGTATAGATCTCCAGGGCAGAAAGTCGGAGACATGAGCAAAAAACATTCAAAAACATTACATAGTAATACATTAAAGAAAAGTAGATAATATTCTTTTTTTAAAGTTTCAATAATAAAAAAATATATACACTGGTTGTGTTTAATAATACAATCCATACAGTAAGCAGGGCCGGCGGAACGTTTTTCAAAGTTTGGGAGGGGTGGGGGGCACTTATAAGATAAATGGGAATATGAATCATGCAGATCTGGAATCAAACCTAGGGGGTGGGGGTCAACATTTTTCCCAAAAACGAAAGGGGATATCCGGGGTCCCCCTGGAAAATTTTGATTTCTAGATGGCGGGAAATGACCTTTCTCAACTTTAGAGCTAGGTGTCTAATGACTTTGTTCTTCAAAATTCAAGGTTTTCCCCCGCTTGAAAACGGTCACTTTCTCATTCTTATTACAGTAAATTGACCGGTTATGTGTGTATACATACATTTAAAAAAAAATTAGTAGTTGCATACGTATTCTTTTTTCAATGAACCGATAAGCTCCAAAGAAAAGGGGGGTTCTCCTCGGGGGAAATTTTGATTCTTAGATGGCGGGAAATGAGCTTTTCCAACTTCTGAGGTGTCTTAATTACTTTTAAGTTCTTCAAAATTCAAGGTTTTCCCGGCTTGAAAACGGTCAGGTAATTTTTTCCCATTGTTATTACAGGAAATAGGCCAAGGCCTTATGTGTGTATATACATACATTAAAAAAAATGAGTAGTTGCATAGGTATTCTTTTTTCAATGAACCGATAAGCTCCAAAGAAAAGGGGGTCCAGGGTTCTCCCCCCTGAAAATTTTGATTCCTAGAAGGCGGGGAATGAGTTTTCCCAACTCCTGAGGTGTTTTTAAGTTCTTCAAAATTCAAGGTTTTCCCCCGGTTGAAAATTATTATGATGAATCAATGAACCCAAAAAGAAAAGGGAGGTTCAGGTTTTTCCCGGGAAAATGTTGATTTCTAAATGGTGGGAAATGAGCTTTCCCGACTTCTGAAGTAGGCCTATCTTTTAGCGACTTTAGTTTAAGTTCTTCAAAATTCAAGGTTTTCCCCTCTTGAAAACGGTCAGGTAAATTTTCCCATTGCTATTAGAGCAGATAGGCCTTATATGTGTGTATACATAGGCCTACATAAAAAATATTGAGTAGTTGCATACGATTTTTTTTTCTATGAATCCATAAATCCCAAAAAGAAAGGGTGGTCCAGGGGTTCTCCCCCGGGAAAATTTTGATTCCTAGATGGCGGGAAATGAGCTTTCCCGACATATTTTGAAGTGTGTTTTAATGACTTTTATGTTCTTAAAAATTCTAATTTTCTTATTGTAACATCAAAAAAAAAAGAAAAAAAAACAACTCACGGGTTCTGAAAAGGTAGGGCTAGAATTTTTTTCCCTTTTTTTTGTTGCCTAAGGGAGGGGTCAGGACCCATGATCCCCCTCCCCCAGATCCGCCAATGTGAATTGCGAGAAAATGTAACTCGGTCGGGGACTATAAACATTCTCTTTTCCCGTCCTTCTTCTTCTTTTCTTGCATTTCTTTCCGATCATACAAAAATCATCTGCAGACATAATATATTTTTTTGCCAAAAAGTGGGGGAGCCCCGGTTCCCCCCCCCCGGTTCCGCCCATGGTAAGGGCATTAAATTAATTATTTACAATTCATTCAATTTTTTTTTTTTTTTTTCTGATTAACATTTTTTTTTTTGTCTTTCTTGGGGATCACCCACCTTTATTTGTCCTCTTTTTTCATGATTTTCAATTTTTCGTTTTCTCTCCTATTATACAGTGATCTTATGCTGTACCAATATTTACATATGCGTTCACAATTCAAAACAATTTTGTATTTATACATCATTACAATATAAAAAAATTTAAAAGAAAAATTAATTGAATTTCATAAGCATACTTTATTTTAGTAAGAGAAAATTGCACATTTCCCGTAATTCATTTCCTCCATGCCTATACATACATGCAATATATATTATACAAACACACACATACTGTACACCCCCCCCCCCACACACACACACAAATACATACATAAATACACCAACAAACACACACCCACACACATACCAACCAATAACCTATATATACATAGGCCTACGTAAAAAAGCATACCCCAAATAAAACAAACACACATACACTACTGTCAGTGTACGGTACCTATTATTAAATATTTTTGTTTTCCTCCTGTTTTTCATTTTCTTTAACTTAATTACGGTACTGTACCTTTGCAATAGACATTCTGTTTATACATTCCACACTCTGTCATTCTTTTTTTTTTCTTTATTTTCCCTTTTTTTTCCATTTACCAAATTTTCATTATTTCTTTTTTCCCTTTTTATTTTTGGTTTACATTTTCAATCATAAGCAAAGTGATTTACAGCACCAATATCATAATGTTTACAATGCACACAAATTGAAAATTAAGAAAAAGAGACATTTCTCACATTATACATTGTAATTAATTAAAATTTAATAATAAGCTTATATATTTACAAAACCACAGAAAAAAAATAATTAGGCAAGGAATTAGGCTAACGCCTTCAGAAGAATATTTTTTACACGTGACCATTTCATATTTGCTCTATCTATGTTACATGCGTATTCATTTTCAATTTGAAGTTTAACCTCTAGTGTAAAAGAAATCCAAATAACCGTTTTATCAATTTTTATTTTTTTTTTAATCAATTTTCGTTTTTAGACATGCTTTATAAATGCAAAACGTCAGCAAAGACAAAAGCTCATTTACCATAAGTTGTTGGTTCCAACAATTATATTTATCTTACGCCAGGAATTCATTCAATTTTTAATTTAAACTACAAAAAATATAATTATGTGAAACTGATTAGATATAAATTTGAATACAATTTTATTTTTTCCCTCTTTTGAAAAAAATTAGGGGGACCCGGGCCTGCTGGGTCTTCCTCCTCTTTCCCTTCATCTTGAATGTGGTACTCTCTCTCGATCACCTCCTCCTCAGAAGGCCCGCGGGTGGATAGGCACCTTTCTAAACTGCGCATGCGTATGTCTCTATTTTGTGTTTTGCTAGATCTCTCGCCGCCGAGAATTTTTGTTTCATGCGTGCGGTAGCTTTTTGTGAGAGAAGTGTAGAGGCCAACTTAGGTAAAATGGCCACTGAAGACAGCAAACAAGCACCACAGAAAGGCACGGTATATCTTGTAGAAGTTGAAGAATCTCTTAACGATGTTCTTGTTGTATGCCTGAGACATGGTGATCGAGTATTTCGAGGAGTTCTGATCGATGCATTGAAAAGGTAATTCATAACAACTGACAACACGAAGAGCATTTTCTCCGGTTGTTGCAATGTTGTTGTTTGTGTAGGCCTGGCCGTGGTGGGACTTGCAGTCAACACACAGTTCAGTAGGCTAGGCCTAGTTTAAGTTAGTATTGCTGAGTGTCCAGTGGAGAATATCAGGCTTGTGTAAACATAATAAATTAATAAGTGTGCATAAAATCATGTAGTTTATTGTTTATTTGATGCTTGTTTTGTCAGATTATTTGAATGTCTTTTTTTGTCTTATCTTACATCTTAGTGGTCCAATTGGGGTGACTCCTGCAATGATGCCAGTTACCAACAATACAGCAACTCAGTTGGATGAAGACAAGTCCATGACATCAGTTATGGAAACAACCGTCCCACAAGCAACAGAGGGTCACTCAACTTTGGGTTACAGGCAAACTTATTATCAAAACCTACCACTATCACCTCCAAGACCTTTGCTACTGTCTGGCAGAACCAACTGCAGCTATCCAAAACAGAGGATGAGTACAAGAACACGACCGTTTAGGTTAAGACCAAGACATCTACTATGTAGTCGTTGTAAGCACAGTTTAAAAGACAATCCAAGTAGTGTGAAATTGGAAAAGCCAATAAAACGTAAACATGAAAATGAATGTCCTACAAATAAAAAGAAAAAAACCGACAGTATAGAGACGCACACAATATGCCATGAAAAACAAGTTATAAAGATATCGTATGCTGCGCCAAAGAAAGAAGGAACTGACATTTTTGCAAAACTTCCAAAGATTACACAGTCTGTTGCATCTTCTAAACAACAAAATAAACTAGACAGAGCAAAAAAAGTTTTGCAAAAAGCCAAAACAAAGGTGCAAAAGAAAAACACAAGGCCTACTATAAAGTACAAACCCAAGCATAATGTGAATGGTTGCAGTGTTAAGTCTTCAAAAAATAATAGTAAAGTTGCAAAACAGAATGGTTTGATCAAAGAAGTTGTTACTAAAAATTCTTCCCAACAACAAAACTTTTCAACCCAATTGCCGGTTCAGACTCCAAATGGACGTTCAAAAACAAAGAAACCTAATGAGAATAGAACTCAACAGCCAACTGCAACAAAAAAGAAAGGTAACATAACTACCAACTCAAAAGCTAACTTGAATGTTAATGACGACAACCAGAAGTTGATTGGGGAGAATATTGATGTTTATGATTTTGATTCAGATGATTCAGAATCAGATGTAGAAGAAATTGAGATCAATCCTGGTAAAACAGCGGAAGGAGAAAAACTGTCACGCATCAAAGTAAATGTTCATAAGAAAAACATAACACGTGTTGTCCTTGATGACGGACGTATAATGTGTATAGGAGATGTCATTTGGGGAAAGATCGTTGGTTTCCCATGGTGGCCAGGTCGAGTGGTAAGAATGAATGTCAGCCGACAGGACAACGGTACAGTAGTGAATCAGGAGGCATTGATCAAATGGTTTGCGGCTAACACAATATCGTACATCAACGTTGAGAAGTTATTCCCTTTTCTACAGTATTACAATTCAAGATACAATCGGAAGAAGCGTGGCGTTTACAAAGAAGCGGTGAAGATGGCAAACGTAGAGGCTCTGGCTTTGTCGCCTGAAGTGCGGGCACTTAACACAATGTTTGAAACGTCAGCTCTCCAGCCTTAATAGGTTTGTATAGTTTTCTTTGTTCATCTAAATCCTTTCAATAACTAAATTCTATGCTATCTTAAAGCATGCACAATTCTGTGAGATACTGTTATTTGCAATTTCAAAAGTTATTACTGTTTTTGAAGCATTTTCATGATTTTGTATTGTCAGCTCTCCAAGCAATAATAGATTTGATTATTCTTTGACATACTGTTTTATTGCTTTTAGCAACTGAATTCAATGATAATGCTTACATTGTTTATGAATGCCCAATTCTATGATGCGGTTTCAAAAAACCATTTTCATGAGTTTACAATTTATTTCAGCATAATTGTAAACCTACACTTGAATGTGAATGTCTAGAATTCTTCATTTTTTAAATGGTAAAATAAATATAAATTTTGCCATCCAAACATAGTTATTGTGACTACCAATCTCTAACATTGTTGTCTGTAAAAGCACAATTTTTTCGACTATAACAACATTTTATAATTGGTCACCATCTTCACATAGAACAGATCACGTCGGATGTAGGGTCATGGCGGGTTGCTCCAATGCCCTGGTTTAAAACACTAAACGCAAGCAGGTTCACCGTAGGCCTGAGATCAAGCTGCATGAAAAATGTTCATCTCTCACCTAGTGTGAACTAGGCCATAATCACCAAGGGTTTGCTATGTACCTTACTTCTTTTTAACAAATGTTCATGTAGATTTTATTCATGTCACCGTATTTATTAGCTTTTGATTTCAGATAGTTTTATCACTTAAATTTTTTCTATTTTCAGGATTTTTTTTATGTGAAATGGAGGTTAAAGGTGAAGTCTGATATCAGAAATTGTGTTTAATTCCAGAATTGGCTTTTTATTCACACATTTCACTCTAGATTACTAATGAACATCATTATGATAGAGTTATGGTACAGAGGCCACTAATTATACTCAGTCATAGCAATAGAACAACGCCATTATGGTGCAGTTACCAACTGCAACGTCACCTGTAACATGCACAAAATCGAGGTACCACCATGGTACAATTTCAACTGACCATGTTGTCATCAACATTCTATAACCTTTTTGAAGTACAATGAAAAAAACACAGAGAAAAATTCACCATAGTGCAATGTCATGGGCAAGTAAACTTCAACAATACTTGTATACAGTATGTGAAGTAAAATTCATTATAAAAATGATTGACAATGAATGTTTGGATTTATACTGTAACCTTAGTACTGTATAATCCTACTCATCCCTGATCATAACTTGCCATGCATTCTGCTTTTGTGACTAATCTTCCTTAGTAGTCATGAAATTCCATTCATTACCAAAATGTTCCAAACTTAATTTTCTGTTTTAAAAATTACTAGCAATATGACAATCTTTGTTGGGGTCTAAATCATAATTACTAGGAATTATATATGAGACCAACAGGCACACAATTAAGGCGAGACTCTTTGCATACCTTGTTTTGCGAACTTATTTTTTTTTAAAGATCATCAGAAGGTAGCAGAAAAAAATAAAAATAAAATTTTGTTTTTTTTTAATTAGCAAATGTTTTTGCCAAAAACATCCTGATGGAGAAGTAAAAAAAAAAAATTGTTGAATGTAAACAGTGTAGTATGGGATGGATGAATGCTTAAATATTTATGAAGAAATATACATTTCTTATTTTTTGAGATTTCTAGACAGCGGCGGGCATGATAAAAATTAAGAAAAGCTTAACTTAAAATTATTTTGTGGCAGCAGGTGCGCTATTTGGCCAAATATAATTTTTTTTTTTCAAAATTATCATTTATTGGCATGTAGCAGGTTCAGGTTCACTAAACAAGGTATAAATAAAAATCTTGCCTAACCATCAGTGTATTAATTTGCTCTTCATAGTAGCATCCATACATATTTTTTTATCAGTTTACCTATATCTCAATAGTTGACCTCTAATTAATATTACACCCCAAGTGTTGACCCCCCCATAAAGGTCAGCACAATGACTAATCTACATTTCAAATCTTTCAATTAAATTAAAGAATTAATTTAGCAAGAAGTATCATGCTGGAGGATACGATTATATTAAAAGCAAGGCCATCAAAATACTGTAGTAGGGAATTAATAGTAGAGGGAGAATTCTCTTGATACTGTACTATAGCATTGTTTGCACTTGACTTTTTCTAGTTGAACTAACCAAGACGCTAATTGGTTTTATCTTAAAATGTCCAGTGTGAACAGTCTTAAAAAGCTTGCCCCATGAAGACTGACAAAGCTAGTTTTTTACCAAGCTGAAAAATTCATTGCGAACCCCACAACTCGCATGAATCTTTCATGCCAACTGCACACATCGTACTGAACGTTGACAATGTCGACAATTTGACTGACCACGTATGTGCAATATGTTTACTAATAGTTTAAGGTCTACGTTGTATTTAAATCCAAGTGCTGTACGATTTGAAAATTAAGGTAGATTTACTTTTTGTCTTGGTCAGAATTAATACAATGTGAACACTAATAAAGATGATTTTTATAGCCATATTCATTTAAATATTCAACGTGTTTCCGTCAGGACCCATCAGGAAAGAAGCCAATGATTTTGTTTAGAAAGACCCCTTTAAAAAAGCTTTTAGTGCCATTTCCAGGCATCTAGAATTAAATCATCTTAAAATTTTCTTCAACCATTGTGGGTTCTATCAGGCTAAAATAACTAAAATTGGTGCCATTTTTATTACCTTCATTTATTTTAGTCATCTATTCAGATTAGGTACTCATGCCATTGAGTAACTCATCATGTCTTCACCAATACAGTTTTTCTAACCAAAATGGTTCATTTTTTAACAATCTTCAAATAAGTGACACATCATTGATTAATAAGATCATCTTCTCCCTCTAGTTACAGGTCTTGGATGAAATGAAGTCCTTTGTTTTGCAGACTATGTTTAAATCCAGTTGATTTTATAGCATTGATATAGCAAATTCCTGATATTAACATTTGACCATTCTTGAAAAATATTTTTATCAATAAGTATAAGAAACAGATCAAGCGTTGCTGGATAGATTCCGAGAAATCAATAACTGATAAAAATGCTTACTGGTATCGCGGGGCGTTTGAAATATTACATAATAGATTATGATTATTTCTTTGTAATTACCGCTCTCTCAGAATGCACGGCGAAAACAAGCGCAGATTGTCATTCTTTGCTTTTATTTTGACAAGCTCGGACGTGTGTAGGCCTACAATTATGAACTGGACCGACGGTGCGACCCGTGCCTTAATAAATATTTGGGGGGAGGAGAACATCCAACAGGGGCTAGATGGAACTCGGCGAAATGCGTCCATATACGCAGAAATAGCCAAAAAATTAAAGGAATGTGGCTATGATTTCACAAGCAAGCAGATTATCGATTAACAACAGTAAACTATCCACTCCTTCAAAACAAACCGCGCGAATTGAGCGGAAGTACGATCTGACCCTGTATCCCAGAACACATTGCGCTATATGATACTTTGGCGTGTTAGC